ATTATATTATATTATATTATATTATATTATATTATATTATATTATATTATATTATATTATATTATATTATATTATATTATCATATTATATTATTATTATATTATATATTATATATTATATTATATTATATATATTATATATATCCACCATCAGCATCGTGTATAAAAGGGCATCACTGAGTGAGGATGCCTCATTCGAGAAGATGGCTCGCTGAGGAAGATCTGGCTCGACAGGAAGGCGAAGACGCAACGTCGAGGCGAACAACAAGCATGGACCATCGACTCGGATCACCGGCTCTGAGGAAGACGAAGACGTCGAAACGTTAGCCGAAAATAAATATATTTATCAACCTCGTGCAAGCTTATCAAGAAAGAATACATATTTTCGGACGATCACGGATCGTTAATGTCTTTGCAAACCATCTCTGCTGGCTCACTATTGTTCTGACACAGAGGCACCTAAGATGAATTAAAACTTGCCCTTTCGCACAAACGTTCTACGACGTATTGCCCGGCTTTCGTCCTTTCTCAGAAGATGATGATTAGAGGATAGAAAAGTTGGAATTAAAACAGCTTTTCGAATCACGGCAGCTCTACTTTTTTGTAGAAAAAACCCAGAACCTGCTTATCGAGGAAATGAAATGATTGCGCATTGTGGCGCTTGCATGACAAATTAAAGCAAAACCTTATTGCAGTGAATTCAAAAGGTACTAAAGAGTTTTTCTTCTTCGTCGTCCAATATAAAATCTCCCTTAGTGTAGCGATAAGCGATAACGCGGTTACCTTAGTGTTCTCGATAGGAGAAGCCTGAATGTAAATATTTCCACATCATTAACGATACGACTGAGCAACTGGTGCAATTACATTGTAAATACATCGCGAATGGAGATGATTCGCCTTCCTGACTGACAAAGTCATCATTACTAATAGCAGTGATTTAAAAAATGAAATGAGTCCAAGTTTGAAAAGCTAGGAGATAGAAGGCAATAAGGCAATGCTCAAAGAAATCCTAGAGCACTATTTTATTAGTTTTTATATTTTAATACAGCCATTAGGCGAACGTTAGCATAGAGAATCTGGCAGGTGGTTCCGTTCCCACAGAAATAAACAGCGACGAGGGTTTAAGCACACCACTCTCATCGCTGTGGTGAAAACTTTTTTTAGATGTTTAAGGTCTAGCTAAAGATCCCACATCTCCTTGTCTGCATCGTACGAAGAAAGTAGCACCGACTAGTCACAAAGCTGTGTGATTCGTCCAAAAGCGAATTGAAAACTTGGAAACACTTTCGCCCAGACTGAGATGGTTGCTTCACTTGATACTCCACACATATCAGGCCAGCGCAAAAACAATTTCTCTTAACCAACTAGTATTCAATGAACTACTTGTACATTTCCTTTAACCAAAAAGCAAAAATAAAACGATATCGTACGAAAAGTGTGACGCTCTTTCTCCTGAGTCCGCATGTGGAATCCACTGACTTGGTCGGACACGTACCATGGCCAAGCTAATACTTTATTGCTAGCAATTGGAATTACTCAACAATCATATGTGTTACAGGTGGTACAGGTGATCTCGAACCTGTTTTTACCATCGAAAAAGACACTGGACAGTGGACGTGCATTGAAAAATACTGCGCTTATACGTGATCGCCTACTAAAAAACCAGAGAAATCAATGATCGTGATTTCAATATGATGATACTTCCAAGTTGTAACAAGGAACAGTACTGTAGACATCATATCAGCTAAAAACATCTCCTTGCGAGAATAGATTAGTCTCTCTGTTGCTGAATTGATGTCGTGATGGATCAGAGGAGTTGAGGTAGTCGGTGTATTGTTCTTCCACTTGATATGGGCCCAGGCTCACCTTTTAGCCAATATCTTCTCTGCATTAGTTTAATGCAGTGTAAGAGTGCATAGGAATATATTCAACAGTGTTAGTGAACGACAGACACGATTGGAGGAAATTTTCGAAACCATCATTCATCAGACAGTAGACCTAAGATTCATGAGGCTCCTCCAACACAATGTCAACGCAGGGATAGTCAATGATGAGCTTTAAAGACAAAAGCCTGCCCTAGATGTGCAGCATAGTTGCTCGCGATGTATCTGATCCTAAGAGAAGTTAGACGATTGCATTTGCAACTATGAGATAATGTCTTTTTCTGTTGTTTTTTTATTGGACCTTAGTATGCATTACAGAGCGCTAAATTCCCGACACTTCTACCAAGTACACGACGAAAAGTGGCATTCCGCAAGCACACAACACTCACACCACAGGTAATGAACGATTCTTAAGTATTAGTACATAACCACAACGTTGCTGAGATATTTGCAAAACTCTGGACCGCAGGTGTCTATGGTGCGGAACGAACGCGCTATTATCCTTTCCGGGGAGTAACGCGTTCACCACCACACCAAAACACCAAAAAATGGTGGTGAACACCAAAAAAAAAGATCGATAGAAATAGCTGAGAGACATGCGAAACGAAGGACCCGCATGGTGTGGTGGTGAACGCGTTACTTCCTGGAAAGGACAATAGCGCGTTCGTTCCCCACCATAGACACCTGCGGTCCAGAGTTTTGCAAATATCTCAGCAACGTTGTGGTTGTATTTCGCTTAGTAACCTGCCATGAAAATTATAGAAGGCAGAAAACAAAAACGTTAAACATTATTAGTACATATTTTCCATTTTTTTTTTCCAAAAATCAATAATATCAATTCCGTAATGTTTTCGTGGATGCATTTCTTATGAGAAAGCAATAGTCTCCATTAATGTCATAAGCACAAAAGGATTTGGACGACGAGGTAGTAGAAACTTACTTGTATTGCCCAGAAGTTAACTATTGAGTAACTCGACCCAGCTTGAGTGTAATCTGCATTACTTCTCGATCCCCAGCAGAATCTATCACGATCATCACAGTCTTGGCATAAGTGTTTTAATTCTGCTACATTAGCAAGAATGTAGTCGTTGATAAAGACTTTCCGTATCACAGGTTTACTTTAGCTGAACTTTTGGAATGAGATGTCGAACTCTTTTCTGCTTGAGTTATTTACCTCAAAAAATGAAATCGCTATTGTACTCTGGAGTTCGGTACCCAAGAGCAAGTTCCGCTTACGATGAAGCAGCAATAAATTGTTAATAGGTTAATGGGATTTGGAAAAAATTAAAAATATTCATTTACCAAGACTGCGCTTTTCGTGGGTAGACCATCGCACCAGGATTTCCATATCGACCTGTCGGCTTGTAAAACATTTCACAAGAAATGATTCAGGCTTCAGTTGTAAATTTTCTGAAGCCACAGTGATTGTGGATTTTGAGAGTAGAACGAACACTCACTGAATATAAAAATCTTATATGGACGGGGATAATAACAGTTTGCAGCCAACCATGTTTTCACTAAACAAGTGCCAGTACTGTTTTGGTGCTCTGCATTTGATGGGGTCGTTTCTGGCTTCTCAAAAGGGAATTATAAGAACATTCCAGGAAGAATTTGTGTTCTTGAAAGATGATGAGACATTCAATCGAAAAAATCTTGTTTTACCATGTTTTCCTTATAAAGTTTTTTCAGCAGTTACCTTTTAAAGGATCGGTTCTCTATTGTACTTGACACTGAGTATTAAGTTCCCGTGATGTTAACGTCTCGACATGACGTTTTTCGCCCTACTCTATACCAGAAATGGTCCCGTTGAATTGAAACTGAAGTGTGGGTGGTGTAGTATTTCGTTCATTCGTTTTGATGTATTGCGACCGTCATCTACGAAGGTGGTCGGTTTGATTCGTTTGGGGATACTCCTACCATTTTGTTGTGTCCCTAGATATGTTGAATATTGATCGAGCTTGTTTGTCCGTCGGAGCAGTGGATGACAAGGAGTGGATAAAATCTATTTTAATAAAAATCCCTCCTAATTGTTTCATTACCGGGTAAGGCCTCTTGGACTTTAAGCATCATCGAAGCCTCATCGAATTGCTTCACAAAAACGAAGTAGGTTTAAGGCTAAACATCTTAACGAATTTCCACGCTGATATCCACATCTGCAGAAGATTCATCTAAATTGCTTATTATTATCATTCTTAAGTAGAATATCCACTGGTAAAGTGTTGGGAGATGAGCATTCTCTTGCTTTACTCTCTTATTTTTAGACAAACGGCACTGAAGAACGGTCACTTGATCCGGGAATATTCGAAGGAGGTACTTAAGTTTCAGAGCTTGCTTTTATCCTTCACCATTTTACTCACTTCTTTTCTTTTAATAATTGCTTTGTTTTAGAGACCACTCATGTAGAATTCGCTATTGAAGCAAAATCCAACGCTGAAAAGTTTGAGAACCACAGACGAAATATCTCGAAAAAGCAACAAATGGCAACTGCTCTTTCAGCTCATGTTGGTGTGACCTTTGCATCGACAACACCGAACATTTCGCCGTCTTCGTATCAAACAACAATGACAACAAAGTTTTTGAGATCCCAAAACCCACGCATACTAGCTGCTCTGCCAGAAACATCATTAGTAGAGAGTCCACGAACAAAAAACAAAGGCCGAACGACAACACCGGCGCAAGCGGAACAACTGGAGGAAGCGATGACGACGATGAAAACACGGAAGCCAACGAAAAAACCTACTGCAACAGCACGGATTACCACCACCACACGGCAAAGGACCACTACCACTACTACGACTCAGGTATAACTAGCCATGACGAAAGAAAGTAGCACAAAGTAATCGCATGAAGGCCGTTAAAATGTCGGCAGTCTTAGCCGACAATAACGGGTCGTTAGCTGGAACCTTGTATGTAGGAATATAAGTAGTGTCAGAACACTTAAAATTGATGAGGCAATAAAAAGAACGGTTATTTCCGAGGTGAACCAGTCATTCGGAGCCGATAATCCTGACGAAATTTTAGCAGGCATTTTCGTAGAGATCAGTTTATTCAGCAATCCTTATTTCGTCGTTCGTTTTTAACAATTGCAAGCCTGACTACTTTTCAGACGACTCCTACCACTTCATCAGATATCGAATACGAAATAGTAGAAATTGAAGTGGATGAAAACGGTAACGAAATACTGAATGAAGAGGCAAAGGAATCAGTCCACCACAAAAATGGTCAGCAACAAGGATGGATTGAGGTGTTGAAGAGTAGTGAAGAGCAGTCAGGTGATGACGTACGACGACACCCGAGACAAAAATCGCCTGTCAAACATAGTTTGGCAGTCACTCACGGAAACGAACGTCAAGAGCGAAGAAAACTAGTGAAGGAACAAAAACGTGACCTGAATCTTCCTGACAGCATCGAAGTTGAATATCTCGATAATGGTTGGTCGTTTGTTTACCTCAGTTGTAGCCACCTTAAACCACTGTTGTTGGATGAGTTTACTGCTATTTGATTTCGAATTCCGAAAAGTGTGAAATCTCTAAAGCATCGTGTTTTCCATTTTATTGAAATTCCTGGGTCTGAGACCTGAAATGGTAACGAAAATATTCTTGAATTACCAGAAGTTCGTAGATGTTCCAGCAATTAATGTTGTTTTTGTATTTTTCAACGTTTTGCTGAACACTTCTACTTCACAGTGGTAAAGTAGTGTGTAGACCGGTTGAATACCACGGTTACCTTATCATCCTGATTTTGCAGGATTCGTACAACTGTTATCCATGTAGGCTTGCATCTTGTGTGTTCAGAAACGACGACGCGACCAACTCACGAAGAAGCCATCGACAATGATGACTACTCAAATGAGAATCCTCAATACGAATAAGTCACCTGTGGCAGAAGGAAGAAGGAAACGCTTTTTTCATGGTAAATTCAGTAGCAGAGGTGGCGATTTGAAAGGCATTAATGGTGGACCGTGGGGTGTTTTTTAGGATTGCCTTCGTGTCTTCTTCTTAATGCATTACTGCCACTCTGTACTCTGCTGGTAGTGTTCAATGACTGGTTGCAAATATTTTGTTTTTCTTTCTTTGATGAGCTTACACGAGGTTGATAATGATATTTATGTATTTTCCGGCTAACGTTTCGACATCTTCGTTTTCCTCAGAGCCGATGATC